GCTTCTCCTGCCCGCACCTCCTTCATGGGCATGCTGGCAGCCCTGTCCACCACGCTGGCCACAGGAGCTGCCCTTGGTGACAGGTTCCCTGGCCGGTCACTCCCTAAGGTACCTCTCCCTCTGTGGATCCCTCAGGCCCCTGTAAGCGCCCACCTCCTCCCTATGCCCTGCCTTGGGCATCTGGTCTGACAGGAACAGGAAGTGTCCCATCCTCTCAGGGCCAAGCCCTCTACTCCATCAACAGAAAATTCTCCTCTATAACTCTCAGGTAGCCCATCTGTTTCTGTCCCAGTTTCTTATCTGGCAGTGGGAGGTAATCGCATCAGCTTCTATCTCCATGTGCTGCTGTGATCCCATGAGCGACTCATCTGTGAGAACTCAGGTGCCAGTTATCCCACTAAATTTCCAGATGACCAAGGAAGGGGCATCAGGACCCCTATTTCACAAAGGATGAACTACTCTCAAATAGTCAAAGCCACATGTCCAAGGTCATGCAACAGCTCTGTCCCTGAGCAGGCCTAGAGTGCAGCCTGATCCCTGGCTCGTCAACTGAACATGCACCACCATATTCCTGAGACAGGAAGGACTCAGAGGACTCACCATTCTTTGGGAAAGCACTGCTGAGTAACAAGGACCTTCCAGCTGTCACTCCTACTTTAAAGATGAGACACTTGTGGGCCCCTAAGCTAGGGAAGATGCCAGGGACAAAGCCCACCATCACCTCCAAATGTGAGTGTGGCACATTCCCAAACCCTTCTGCTTCCATGACAGAGTGGTGAACAGAAGAAACACACTCCGGTTTCAAGTCTCATTTTAAGTCCCACCTGTGCTGAGTAGCTGTTAGATTTTTGGAAAACCCTTTGACCATTCAGCCAGCCTCAGTTTCCTATAAAATGAGGTTCTATTAAATGCCGGACAAGAAGGCACAGACATCATTCCACAGCAACTCTTGAGGTTTGTCTTACTGTTCCCATTTATAGATGAGAAAACTGAGGCTCACGAAGGCTAAAGAGTTGCCCCAGTTCATTGGACTGTTCAGTGGGGCTGGAAGTGGACCCTGAACCTGCCTGAGACCAACACCTTCTAAATCACATCCTCACTGTGGGCATTTAGAAAATCCTCCTTTTGAAATGGAAGCAGGCTACATCATGTGATCCTGGGTCTCAACTCGATAAACTTTCTCATTACAACTTAAATATAAACCCTGAGTAGTTCCACTATGCCACATCATCAAGTCTGTATTAAGAAGCATGAACCTGATTCTATGACTCCACTTCCTGGATCCATCCAGCAGAGTGCCAGGAACTCCAGAGGAGACCAAGAAATGCCCTTTGGTCTCATGAGAGCCCCATAAAGATACACAATTTAACTGAAGAGCCAAATTATGGCCCCCAGGTCTTCCTCACCCCCTTTTCGGGAGGTACATTCAACTGGAGAGAATTCCATTCGTTACCTAGAATGGCCACCCTATTTAAGTCAAAGCCAGGCCAGGCAGAAAACTACCTCAGTCATATTCTTCATCCCAAGGTCCCATACAACTTTTCCTCTATCTTACTCAGACCAACGTGTTTACCATTAAAACACTTTTACCTTAATTGAAGTGGTAAGAGTAATATTAGAAAGAAAATACTTGGCTATCCTATTAAAGTCTGTGCTCTAAGCAGAGCTGAGCACTTAAAACTTCTTACTCTTCTACTGCATAGGTGGAAAACCTACCAAAAATGCATCAGCCGACTTCTGGTTATCTGACACACCTCACACACGCATTACTACACAGCTCTATCTCTTCATTAAACTCACCAGCACGAACACCACAAGAGGCAGCCCAGCAGGATCAAGAGTGTGAACTTTGGAGTCAAACAGACCCCAGTTCTGCCACCTTCTAGGCATGGCCTGGGTGAGCTGTTTCAGAGCGCCTCCAACTCCAGCCTGTCACCTGGGCAGCGGCACCCTGCCCTGCCTTCCTCAAAGGCTCTTCTGGAGAGTTAACCAGAGTTAGCCTGGCATGGAGGGCGTGTGCCACCTCAAACACGTCCGACCTGTTCCTGGATGAGGGCCGGCCCTCACACAGCTGTCCTGTTTGCAGTCCTCTTCCCTCTGCTCAGTTTAAGGCCACCTCTTCAGAGAGGCTGTCACTGTCCAAACCGACCACCAGACCCTTACATCGCATCATCCTGTTTTTATTTTATGTCACGACTGCTTTCTGATACCTTTCTGGTGTGTTTCTCAATTTCGTCTATTAGAATGCAGGCCACTGACGGAGACGGAGGCCCCTGTCTGGTTCCAGGAAGGGCCCTACCGCCTGGCAGTGCCTGCTCCAGAGTCACCTGTGGAATGCAACTGCTTCATGCTCAATCCCAAAGAAAACAAAGCGAAAAGCAGATGAAGCCACCCGGAGCACAGACCACGAGTACCGTGCGGGCAACAATCCGCACAGCTGTGTGCGCCTCGTGCCAGCGCCCATCCGCTCACGTCTCCGCGGTCCTCCGCCCGCGTCTGGGGCCATCGAGGTTTGGCTGCCTTGACCTCCCCTTCACACACGTCCCCCAATCCCTCCCGGAAAAGGAAAGCCCCGGGTCCCGTGCGCCACACCTCAGGCCCCTGGTGCTGTTCCCTTCCCTGAAATACCCTCCAGACCCCCTGACCTCCGGCCGCCCGGCGCACACGCCCGTGGGAGTCCAGCCTACTGTGCGGCGAAACGCAGCCCGGCTAAGGACGGAGAGCAGGCCTCGAGCGTCCCTCTGCGCTGGGATACCGGGGGACGCACACCGCGCTGTAGCGGCGGGACCACCGGCCCGGAGCCTGCGGTCTGACCGCCTCAGTTCGGAGTGTTACGAAAGCACCTTCGAGCAGAGGCTCTGACCAGACCCTGCGGACACTCGGGCCCGGACGGGGCGGAGGGCGAGGCGGCGGCACCCCCACCCCCAACTGCGGCCGCCGCCGACCG